AATGAGAGATGATGATGATAATTAATAATAATAATAATTATAACAATAACAATACGAGATCCACAGAGTTATGGAAAGGATTCAATGAGATAGCACATGTAATCTCTTAGCATGGCTCCTGGCACACAGTGAATGCTCAATAAACTACTATTATCACTGTCACTACCATTATCCAGGAAGAAATGGACGCACTGAGAATCAGGACTTTAGGGTGGAATCTCCATCCTGACCTCAGTGTGCAAGTCCTAGAGGTCATTGACTTTAACCCTTCCATTTTACAGAAAAGAACATCAGAGGAGGGGGAGGAATGGCCTCAATTCTCACTGGGAGCAAGTGCAGGAAGTGCTGCCTGACTCCTGAGCTCAGACTCCTTCTTCACAATGCCTTCCCTTCTCCAGGGCCTTGGTTTTCCTTTCACTCCTCTCCTCCAACTCCTCCCACCCCTGCTAAAAAGGTGTGTTCCCCGTGGCCGCTGGTCCCACCATGGACGTTGGCACGTGGCTGCAGTCCCCAGGCTCCCTTGGCACTCCTTTCAGAGAGCTGAGGCCAGGGAGGTGAGGGTGGGCCTGGGGCAAGCCTCTGGATGTGTGGGAATGAGCTCCCCACCCCAGGAATTGGGGCTGGCTGCTGCTGTGTTTGCTCAGGACCCTTTGGCAGTCATCCATGGCTTGAGGAAGGCAAAGCAGCCAAGACAAGACAGAGGTTAATTACCTTGGTTAATAGGAAATTGGGGAGCAGTGACAAGAAGGGTGTCTAGGCCTCTGGCCAGGCGAGAGCAGGGATCACGGATGCCCAGCCTGGCCTGACCCATCCACCCCAAGCCGGGATCCCTGCTCAGGGTCACCCTCGGACTCCAAAAACCCAAGGGTACAGGAGCTGGTCGCACTGGTCATACCTTTTGGGGACCCTCTCCCTCTGCTGCTCTTTGTTTGTTTTCATTCAAAAGCAAAACAAGTGAAACAAACAAGAAAATTCAATTTAAACAGGGCCCGAGTGCTGATGTTTCTGTTTTGTTACACCAGGGTGAGCTTAGGACAGAAACTTAGCCTTGACTTTCACTCCTCTGATTGGTCTCAACCCTGTGGCGATGTGTAAAATTACATGGATGCAGAGGCTGCAAAAGGAATTTGTCTTCCTAGGTGGGGTAGAGAGAGGGAGTGGGCACAGAGTGGGGTCAGATTTGGAGACAAAGAAAGAGAGAAGAGGAACCAAAACTCATAAGAAAAAGGACAGAGAGACTGAGATACACACACAGAAATAGAAATTAACAGAATAAGAAATAGAAAGGCAAAGAAGAAATGATTGGGGGAATGGCAGACAGACAAAGACAGTGAGCTATGCAGAAAATGCATACACGAAGAGGGAATAAAAGGCACGAGAGATGGACAGAGAGGCAGAGAGGCCTGGTAGGGCAAAGGAAAAGTGAGAGAGGTAGAAAATTGGAAGGGCAGGAGCCCAGGAGGAGGAAAAGAGAGAGAATGAAAAGAAATCCCAGCACAAGAGCATGCATTCCCAGAACTCTCAAGCTGGGGTAGATTTAATGCACCTTCACCTTGAAGATGCTGAAATTGCAGAACAAGGAGAGGATATGAACATTTAGTCCAAGGTCCCAGAGGCATAAATGGTGTCAGTGGGATGTGAACCCAGACTTCCTATCTGAGAGACAGGTCCTCCAAGGCTGTGCCACCTGTATCCTTCCATCACGCCTTCAGGCATCATGCATGGGCGGTTTGGGGCTCAATGGTGCTTAATTAAAACTTGGAGATCTGCACCCATCCTCTCTTTTCATCCTATTTCTCCCCAAAGGATCCTGGATGGTTATTCTTTCCAGAGCTAGTGGGACCCCAACCTGTCTCACAAGGAATAGCTCCCCTAGGATTCTTCTTGGAAGAAAGGGTCACCGATAACAGTAACTGAGTCAAGGAGAATGAAGCAAGATGATGGAGAAAGTAACTAATATTTCCTGCAGGCCTTCTATCTGCCAGGCATTCTGGTAAACCCTGTTTGTGGAGTTTTTCACCTGATGCTCTTCCCTGTAACCCTAAAAGGCAGGAATGATTATCAGCACCTTTTTTCCAGAGGAAGAAACTGTTGCAGAGAGCAGTGAAAAATGACTTGCCCCAGGGCAGGTTATGAGTAAGGGGCAGAATCAGGATTTGCACCCAGCTCAGCTTATCCCCAAAGCCTATGCTCTTTCCACTGCCACACATGGCCTTTTTGGCCGAAGAGGAAAAAAACTAATTTTGGTAAGGAACAAGCAAGCAGAAAATGAGAAACCCCAAGAACTGACACTGGAACTATTTTAAAACTTGAGACTGAGTCGGTCAGACTTCATGGGAGGAGAGTCGCCAGTGGGATAAGAGATCAGTCCAACACTACCCTGGCTCTCTGACAGAGAGGCCCAGATCCCAGGGCCATTAATAAAATCAATTTCCAAAATAAAATAAAGAAGTGCTCAGAGTTAGGGATGACAAGCTCCTGACAAGCACATTTCCAGGACAGAAGAAGGAAGGAGGTTCTCACCTGAAGAGGTGGGAAACAGGTAGGGGGTGTCAGGCAGTGAGGAAAAGAAGAGGCAAGGGACAAGTTCATCACTGTTAAATTATGGCAGTCGATTGTCAGCTCTCGGTGTTAACTGCTGCTGGGGTTCTATAAAACATTTCATTGCTCTCTACATAATGGGCCTGTAGGATTCCAGCCTGGCTAATGCCAAGTCCCCACAATGTCACTCAGAGACGTGGTTACTACTTGTGTCTCAGTGGATAGGCACCACCTTCCAGGGTTCTGTTCCTCTCTGCTAGAAGCTCTCTCTCCCAGCGGTTGGAGAATGGAGGGAGGGGGAGTTGATGTTAATTATTTATTACCACAACAAGGCAACAAGAGCACCAGTGATAACAGCTAACACTTCCTATGCTTCTGTTGGGAGCTCTCCACCAAGTGGGGAGCTTTTGTGCCTTATCTCATTAAATCTTCCTGGGGTCCCAGTGAAATGGACACCATACTATCTGCATTTTCACAGAGCAAGAAATGGAGGCTCAGAAGGCTACGAAGCTCATTCAACGTCATACACCTGATAAAGTGCAGGGCAGATCTGTCTGCAGTCTATGCCCTTAACGGGGGACAGAGGAATCAGAAGCCAACCATCAAGAAATCTTTCAAAAATGCTACTTTCTTCATACAACCATTGTTTTTAGAGCTGGAGAGGACCTTATAGCTCTTAGTCTAGTCACATACTTGTATTTCACAGATGCAATGACCCTAAAGCCCAAAGGGTTGGTGTCAGTGCTTATTGATTCAGAGGCTGTAGAGTCATGCTCTCAAGATCTGGATCCCAAGTCATGACTCAAGGCCTGAGGCAAATGCTGCCTTCTCTGTGAAGTTTGCTCACAAGTCCCACTGGAAGAGATCTGATAGCTTACTATACTCTGGGGATTCCATTCCTAGAGCTCTCACCATCCCCAACTGATTTTGCTACTCAGCATAAAATAAAACTTGGGCCCAAACTTCTATGAGACAGTCAGTGGCAGAGCCAGTGTCAAAAGGCCTAATTTCCAGCTGACAGTGATATTCCTGAGTTTGGTGCATGAACACATCGGCTGTTACCAATGAGCCTGAATATGTCAGGTGTTCAAAAGAGCAACATGGTCTTCAGAAAAGTCATGGTCTTCCAGAGGAAGTGGGGATGGGATGTGTTTTAGAGCTGAAGGAGATTCAGATTACAGAGGGACTAATATTTATTCAGCAGATACCCAGATACTGTGCTAGGGTATCTTGTTTAATTCTTATGCAACTCTGCAACCTAGGTTTTATCTTTTCTGTTTTACTGAGGCTTGTAGAGGTAAAGCAACTTATCTAGGGTCACATAATTAAAACGTCAAAAGCTAATTTGAATCCACAGTCTGTGGCCTTTTACACTACTATTAGGTTATAAGTTATCTGAGGATAGAAAGTTTGTCTTAGTCACATTCATATTTGCATTCCCTAGCACAGTTCCAAGATGTAGGAAATCCTCAGAAAATATCTGCCAAATAAGTAAATGAATTATAAATGAGGATATAAAAATGTGAATGAATGAAAGAATTGATGGATAGATAAGTGAATAAATGATGCAGTATAAGAGTGGATGAATAGATACATGGGTGAATGGGATGGATAGATGGTTGGATGGATAAATGGATGGATGATCGGTAGGTGGGTGGATAAGTGAATGAATCATTGAGTGAGTGATTAAAAGAAAAAAACGAATGAGTTGAATAATTGGTGAATAATGCTCACCTTGTTAACAACTGTAGCTTTCTAGGTAGGTAAGGGAGGTGGCCTATAGTTTCATAATTAGGGTACATGAAGAGAGCTGGTCTCTAGAACTCTATGTTACAGCTTATGATGGCTGCATCCAGGTATGGTAATACTCATTGAAATGGGAAACAAAAGAAAAATGAGGCTTTTTTCCCTCTGGGTTTAACAGATGAGTCTTAGAATGACTTCCTTTTGCATTTCCAGAAGTTTGGATGCAAGAACTCTAATATACTTTATGAAGGAGTGATAATGGCACTATTTCTAAGGTCTGGCTAGATCTAATAATAAAAAATTATATGTATATACATATACACTGTGTAAATGTACTTCAGATATGCTAATCTAATATTTTTCAGAGGAGATAGCATGGAATTGAGAAAAGAACACCAGGCAGGGACTCCTCTCCCGGCCCTTCTTGTTAACTTGCCACTTTCCCTCTCTGGGCTGCAGATTCTTCATCAGTAGGGGAAGTGGTTTTGAGTTTCTGGCCTCCCCGGGCCTTTCAGCACCAACCTTATATGATTCTGTGACTCATTATGGCTACATTTCTCCAATGGACACTCTAAATCTTAGCATCTCAAGGTACACACAAAGGCTGGCCTATAAAACATTTGGCTAGCCTGGAAAGATTACTCGTGCCTTGCTGCCCAGACTTAAAATCATTCTGTCTACTTCATATTCCCCATGCACCCAAAATGTCTTACTTGTAGAGACCGTCGGGCTCCAGACACTTGAAGATGACGGAGTAGATACTGACTTCAGGGACCTCTCCATGGCTTCGACCAGCTGCTACACAAGATGTGCCCAGGCCAGAGAGCAAGTCATCGGCAAAACTCAGGAATTCTCCTGGAGGGAGACAAAGAAAGATGAGCTCCCCAGCTCAGGCCTTGGTGAGCAGACATTCTTGCTGTTGTCCAAACCCATCAAATGTCTGAATACCATTATGAAGAGGATTAGTGGACTGAACAAGCACAGGATATGAAAATGACACAGATTAGTATCTTGCCCTGATGACTCTTTGTTTAAATTTATGCCTGAGGGCCGTGTCCGTTGCCAAGTGATTAAGTTCACACGCTCCGGTTTGGCAGACCAGGGTTCACCAGTTCGAATCCTGGGTGTGGACCTACACACCACTCAACAAGCCATGCTGTGGTGGCATCCCAAATAGAAGAAGTAGAATGACCTACAACTAGGATATACAACTATGGACTGGGGCTTTGGAGAGAAAAAAAAGAAAGAAAAAAAAGAGGAAGATTGGCAACAGATGTTAGCTCAGGGCCAATCTTCCTCACCAAAAAGCATACCTCTAAAAAAATATATATAATAATCATAATAAATTTATGCCTGAATTTTCTCAACTGTAAAGTAGAAATACTAATACCTACCTTTATAAGATTGTAGCAAGGTGCAAATGAGGTAAACTATTGTGTGATAAAAATGCATGAAAAGGCAATAGGGGGACAGTACTTTCTGTCCAGACTAGCTATTCTGGCCTTGTCATTGCCTTTAACTTCCTCTTAACTCCTTGAGCAAGGCCCTCCCTTCTTGGAGCTGCATGTTCCTTCCTTGCATAATGAAGGAGTTGGACTAAGGATGTAAAATAAGTTTCATGTCACATGGTCACTCTTATGCACTGGTAATGGATTCATGGAGTGTTATGTTGAGATGGAGAGAGACATGGTCCAGCTAAGAGGGAAAAATTTCCATGATTGATTAGTGATGAAGGTCATGGGACAGGAAGGAACAGCGGAAGTACAAGTGCTCCCAATGCTATAATTTCTAAAAGTCAATCTAGCCATCAGATTTTAGGAAGCAGATGAAGTTTACTGGAAATCGGACTAAGAAAGAAGACTAGATGGAGACTGGAAAGATTAACTGAACATTTGGAATCTTGAGATCTAGTCTTCGTCTGTGAAGAATTTGCTGTATAGCTTTGGGCAACTATGTTCCATCTCTACACCTTAATTTTCTCCTCTGTAAAAGGTGCTAGAATCACTATTAGAATTTTTGGAAAAATAAAATAAAAACATAAATGTGCACAAAGACTAAGTTACGAGGATAAACACTGCAATGCTATTTAAACTAGCAAGGATTTACAAACAACTAAATGTTCAGTGATGTTGAAACATCAATATCAATTATAATTCAATGATGCAATAGAATATTTTATATTAAAATAATTAAAATAATATTGTGGAAGAATATAAAGTTATATAAAAAGATATTCATGACATTTTAAGTTAAAAAACAGGTTACACTATTACAGATTAATCTGGTTTTTGGTGGAAATTTTACATGTATATCTATTTAGAAAGAAAAGGAAAAAATGTAGCAAGTATGTAATAGTGGCTTTGTCTGGAAAGTGAGACAAAGGGTACTTTTTCTCTCGTATTTTTGCTTATCTCTACCTTAAAATTATCTACAATGAACATGTCTTGCTTTTGTAATAAGGAAAAAAAAACAATAAAAATTACTTAAAAATAGGTAAGATAAATGAGCCAGACTAAACGGGCTCTAAGCTCCCTTCTATTTCTGAAATTGGATGATTTAGGATCAAAATGGTCATGTGAGGTATTTTATACCACACAGTATGAAATGGTATGAGGCCTCCCAACTGTTGATTCTTTGTTCTCTTTCACGCCTGATATGGAGTGCCTCACATTCTCTACTCACATATATTCTCAATAATAAACAAGAGGGGGATGTTCGTCCAACTATATCCTCTCTACTTGGAGTTAAGGACAATCCAATATAATGAAACCATCATGGCACAGTAATGTTGGCCAAGTGTCTGAGAAGACTGAGACTCAGAGGAAACACATGGCACTTCTCTACCAGGGAACTGGGTGGGCAGAATATACAGGTCATTTCTTACTGATCTTTCAAAGAAAAGTTTCATTCTTCACTCACAAGAGAATCATGTAATACCTGTCTAACTGAATTGTCTGCATGGCCCTGAGATTCAGGTAAACAAAAGTTCTATGGTCCAATACAGCAGATCTGATGGGTAGTGTTTTTCTGTTTTCCACTTTTTACAGACACAACATGCAGTTTATGGACTTGATATGTAGATGCCAGAGCAAGTGTCGGAATCAGGCCAATGTCAGCGACATGTAAGTTCAGCTGCTATTGCCAGACAGATTTGGAAATGTAGTCTAGTTTCACTATTTATTGCAAGCCCCTTAACCTCTCAAAGTCTCAGTTTTCCTTTCTGAACGAGGGGTCAATAACTCTTTTATGAGTTTGGAAACTCGAAAGAAAGTATGAGTCTAGGAGAAAATTCTTTGTCTAGAACTAGAGATTTGCTGGAAAATGAAAAGGTAAACAAAACCTTTTTTCATCACAGATTTTGGGATCCTCCATTTCTGCTTTAGGCCTCTTATGTCAGCTTCTTCCATAGTAAAACCATAAACCAACAATGTCTCTCCTCCAATAGGTCGCAGAGCAGAGCAATGCATGGTGTGAAAAATGAAGAAAAAGGGGGAAAATCATGGAATTATTCACTGGATGGACTGAGGGCTTTGTTTCTCTTGGTTTCTCAGGATTCCAAGTCTGGCTGCTTACATTTGTTTTCTTTGAGCTTGGATCCATGTCTGTCTGCTTTTCAATTTGTTTCCAGATAGCCATTGAAAGAGTTGGCCCTTCATGAGGGAATTCAGCATGGCTTGTGGCCTGTATTTAACTGTCTTCAAGCCAAAAGATGGTTGACATTCATTTTCAAATGGGCATAGCTTTCCAGATATTTCCATGCATTTCAGAATAATTCAGATGATGGATAAAAGCCCCATAAATATGTCAGGTCAATAAGATCAGCACACATCTCTACAGTTTAAAGGTTTAATTCAAGTGAAGAAACTAGATAACAACATCCTTATAATGTCCAATATATAACTAGTCACATCAAGGACATTATAGGAATATTGAGTTCCCAGTTCTAGTTGGGACTATATATACATAACGACCTTCAAATAAAAAGAGTTAAACCAACTTTGCTTTTTTCCTTTTACTTCTCATAACATTCAGTCCTAATGAGGTAAATGTCAATATCGCCACTGTAAAGCTGAGGTTAAGCTCACAATTTTAGGAAGGGATAGAGCTGAGATTTGAACCCATATCCTCCTAACTCCAAAGCCATACCTTTTCTTTTATACTATGCTGCCTCCTAGAGAAAGTTTAAGAAAGATAGTGTTTGAAAGCATGTTTTCTCAATTCTGTTCAGTTTGCGATTGAATTCATGCCACTCTCTTAGCTCTAGGGGCTTGGAGAATGAGACAATAAAAGAAATGGTCCCTGACCTTCTACAGCTTGTAATCTGACAACAGGAAGGGTTGTTAAATAAAAGGACAGACTCATAAAGTAAATTGTAAGATTGCTTTTCTTGGCACTCTATTCCAGAAGGTTTAAATGCAACCTAGACGGAGACAGGTAAACAGGGCGATCCCTCACTGGCCTTCCTCACCTAGTGGAGCAGGGGACTAAAGGGTGCTTCTCTATGCACAAATGCAAATCAGTGCAACTTGACACGTGTTGTGGTTCCACAATATACCATACTCCGCATCTGGCAGCAGTACAATTGAATGAAAAATAATATAGTGTAGTGGTTAAGAGGCTGGGTTCTGAATTTATACTGTCTAGGATTAAACCCTGGTACACCCCCACTTACAGCTTGCCTTGGACAGGTTCCTTGACTCTCTATATCTATTTTCTCATATGTGTAATGGGTATAATAATAGTCTCTAACTTACAGTATTGTTGTGAACATCATACAAAATATTGTATATATTGTTTGCAAACCAATTAGCACAATGTACAGCACATAGTAAGAGCTCAAAAATATATCAACTACTATTTTTGTTGTTTTTGTTATTATTGTTGATGTCATCATAACTGAGGAGACATAAGGACACTTAGAGATTATTTTTATCCAACCTGCTCCTTTTCCAGGTGACAAAACTGAAGCCAGAGAAGGGAAGTGGCGTGTCCATTGTCATATACAAAGTGGGAGGTAGACCTGGAACAAAAATTTTATCTCTTGACTCCTGTAGCCTATGAGGTAATGCATATCAGCCAACCCATGAGATAAAATTGCTGAGAACTGCAGAGCTTCCACAGCTGCCCCAGGAGTCCTTGCTCCTCAGTTTCTATCCAACAGTTTCCAACACGTGAGCTACATTTACTGGGCATTTACTCCGTGCCAGGCACATAGTTCTACCACACCACCTTCTTAAACTTGGAATCGCTGAGAAATTCACTGAGTTCCAATACGTAACATATTCTAACAGTGGTTTGCAAATTAGAATACAGTAGTCCCCCCCATATCCACGGTTTCACTTTCTGTGGTTTCAGTTACCCGCAGTCAACTGTGGTCTGAAGATATTAACTGGAAAATTCCACAAATAAATGATTCGTAAGTTTTAAATTGTGCGCCAATCTGAGTAGCATGAAATCTCATGCTGTCCCGCTCCATCCCTCAGGATGTGAATCATCCGTTTGTCCTGCGTATCCACGCTGTACATACTACCCACCATTAGTCACTTATTAGCCTTCTCAGTTATCAGATCTACTATTGTGGTACCACATTGCTTGTGTTCAACTAACCTTTATTTTCCTTAATGAGTCCCCAAAAAGCAAGAGTAGTGATGGTGGCAATTTAGATATGCCAAAGAGAAGTTATTGTTCTTAATCTATTATGGTTCCTAATTTATAAATTAAACTTTACCATAGATATGTCAGTACAGGAAAAAACATAGTATATATAGGGTTCAGTACTACCTGCAGTTTCCGGGCATCCCCTGGGGGTCTTGGAGCATATCCCCCACGGATAAGGCGGGACTATCGTATCTAGA